TATAAAGCACCCCAGGGAGGGGCGGGACATGTACAGAGATAGAAAGCAGGGCCTGTAGTCTGGGGCTAGGGGCCTGGCTCCGGGAGGGGAGTGGGGTCTAGTGGTTACAGCAGAGGGGCTGGGAGCCAGGACACCTGGTTTCTCTCCCTGGCCCTGGGAGGGGAGTGGGGGTTAGAGCAGGGGGCTGGGAGCCAGGACTCCTGGGTTCTTTCCCCAGCTCTGGGAGGAGACTGGGGGCTAGTGGTTAGAGCAGGGGCCTGGGAGCCAAGGGAGGGAGTGGTGCCTAGTGGTTACAGATTCATGGATTCCAAGGCCAGAAGGGACCATTGTGATCATCTCGTCTGACCCCCCATAGAGCACAGGCCAGAGACCCGCCCCACAGTCATTCCTAGTGCAGATCCGTTAGACAAACATTCACTCTTGTGTTAAAAATGGCCCGTGATGGAGAATCCACCGTGACCTGGGTAAATTGTCCCCCTGGTTAATCCCCCTCCCTGTTAAAAACATGCACATTATTGCCAGTCAATTTGTCTAACTTCAGCTTCCAGCCCTTGGATTGTGTGAGACCTTCCTCTGCCAGGCTGCAGAGCCCGGTATGAAATCTTTGCTCCCCCTGTAGGTACTGACAGACTTGAGTGTCACCCCGTCACCTTCTCTGTGTTCAGCTAAATAGCCGGAGCTCCTTGAGTCTGCATCCCTATACGGCAGGTTTTCCAATCCTTTCATCATTCTTGTGGCTTTTCTCTGCCCCCTCTCTGAAGGATCAGCACCCTCCTGACCTGTGGGCACCAGAACCATGGATTCCAGCAGCAGTCGCACCAGTGCCAAACCCAGAGTTAAAATCGTGTCTCCTCCTAGCTGAGAGTCCCCCGTTTATCCATCTAAAAAGCACGTTGGTCCTTTTGGCCACAGCCTCCCACTGGGAGCTCATGTTCCACTGATTATCCACGCCCCCCCCCCCCAATGCTTCCCAGGACAGAGGCCCTCGGCCTGTCAGTATGGCCTGCGTGCTTTGTTCCTCCATGCACACGTCTGCATTTAGCCAGACTAAAATGCATATTGTTCATTTGTGCCCAGCTCACCAAGCAATCCAGGTTGCTCTTTATCAGTGACCTGGTCTCTTCATCAGTCACTGCTCCCCCAGTTTTCATGTGAGCTGGAAACTTTATCAGGGATGATTTTATGTTTTCTTCTAGGTCAAATGTGAAATCGCGTAGGGCCCAGAACAGATCTGATCCCGGTAGAACAACACCCACTCCATGACGATTCCCCGTTACAGTGATATTTTGAGCTGTATGTTAGCCAGCTTTGAATCCATTTACTGTCTGCCATGGTAATGTCATATCATCCTCGCTTTTTAATCAGAATGCCATGTGGTCCTACGCACAACGCTTTGCAGAAGTCGAAGATCATTACATCACCGCTGTCACCTTTATCAACCAAACTTGGAAGCCCATCAAAAGCCATCAGGTTAGTTTGACAGGATCACTTTCCAGAACCCACATTGATTGGTATTAATTCCATCACCCTCTTTTAGTTCTTTATTAATCGAGTCCTGGCTCAGCTGCTCCATTATCTTGCCCAGGATCGATGTCAGGCTGACAGACCTGTAATCGCCTGGGTCATCCCGTTTACCCGACGGCAGCTTCCTCCAAGTTCCTGGGACGTCCCCAGTGCTCCAAGAGTCCTTGTCCGAGGTGGGTGCTGAGCCCTGAAGGGAGCGAGAGCCGGGTGCTAGCAGGTCTCTGGGGAGGCAGGGGGCTGGACCCCTGGGTTGGAGACCCAGCTCTAGGGGGCTGGGCTTTGTGTTTCTCTGTTGGTACACATGCACAGTGGAGTCTAGGGGTTAGAGCAGGGGGGCTGGGTTCTACCCCTAGCTCTGGGAGGGCAGTGGGGTCTAGGGGTTAGAGCAGGGGGGCTGGGAGCCAGGACTCCTGGGTTCTGTCCCCAGCTCTGGGAGGGGAGTGGGGGCTGGTGGGTTAGAGCGGCAGGAGCTGGGAGCCAGGACTCCTGGGTTCTGTCCCCAGCTCTGGGAGGGGAGTGGGGACTGGTGGGTTAGAGCAGGGGGGCTGGGAACCAGGACTCCTGGGTTCTGTTTCTGACTGTTATTGATTTGCAACACGCCATCAAGGAATTTCCTTCTTCTCTTGATGCATCGGTGTTGGGCACAGCGCTGCCCTGACTCCAACCCAGCATGACACCGAATTAAAGCTGGCCGAGCCCGTTGATCAAAGGGGCGATAGAGGAGCGGAGCTCTGCCCGCTGCCTTTCCACGCCAGCCGCAGCGCTGAGCTGGTTCAGAAGAGGCTTGTGGCTGGTTTTTCCTTCTGCTGTAATTACCACTTTCCCCTCCAGCCGGCCGGGTGACTAATGCTCAGCAGCCTGGCGGCGGGGGCTGCGCTCCCCAGGTCTGGAGAACAAGCTCTGGAGCAGCCGGGCTGAGAGCTGGGACTGTTCCCAGCATCAGCCTCCCCTAGCCCCGCCCCCCAGCCCACGCGCCCGGCCCCAGCCATGGCCCCCACCTCAGACAAGGAGCTCATTCAGATCAGGGAGCTGCCGAGGGGCTGGAATCCAGAAGCATTTACTGGGACCGGCCCCATTCCCGACACTGGGGCAGATCACTGGAGGTCTCTGCAGCCCCTCCAGAGGGCCCAGCCCACGGGCAGGGAGACTTTACACCACCTTTGGGGCCTTCCAGATCCTGGGCTGCTGCAGGGACCAAAAAAACCTTGGTGTAAATTAGAGCAGCCCCAGGATGCTCTAACAGCAGCCCAGCTGAGCTGCCCATGGGCTGCGGCACAGTCAAGCCGCTGCAGTGCCACATACATACATACATGCCCGGGGTGCCAGGGCGTGTGTAGGGAGCACTCCCGAGGCCGTGCCAGGCTACCTGGGCATTAGCAGCCCTGTACGCTGGTGGAATGGCTCAGGGACAGGATCTCTCACCGTGCATCGCTAGGCAAAACCACTGTTTGCACCATTGGAGCTTCCCTGGGGGGGCATCCGGGGTGCAAATCACCGCCTGGCCCCATCTGCCCTAGTGCTTTGCACCACGGCCGTGTCAGGGGCTGGACATGGGGATTGACAGCACGGACTAGATGTTAATTTCACAATCCCTGAGTGCCTCACCCTGGGCTGAATGCAGGGCGAGCAGGGGCCGGTCTCTCGCCTGTGCTAGCCGGAGGTCAGGCTGGACAATCCGCTGGACCCTTCTGACCGTAAGCTCTGTTCCCCCGGCCAGGGCACAGACACATCCTTGCGATGGGGGGCGTCTCGGGGGACAATGGCAGATTATTTGGAACGTCCCCGGAGTGCAGCAGAAACCATTTAATGCACAGCAGCACCAGAGATCAGACGTGAGGCAGGAAGGAGTTAAATTCCCACCCACCCCCATCCCTGGGCAGACAGGCAGCACCAGGCCTATGCACCTTGTAAGTCCCACTGATGCCTGTCAGCAGGGCTTGCTGGAATAGATTCACCCAGTCCTTGCCTAGGCCCCGAAATCAGCCACCTGGCTGCAGCTCCCACTGCTGTCCAAGAGTGGGGGTCGCGGGGGACGGGACCGGATGGGCCACACCTCTGAACGCCGCTGGCTTCCCCAGGTGCCGGCCAGTGATGGACGTAGATGTCTCACTTGGGAGGCTGAGGTTGACACATCGGCCACCAGATTCATGCTCCTCGGGTGGCTGATGGGAACGACCCAGAGCCTGAGTGACAACCCAGCGCTAGAGCGATGCTAGCTGGGGGGACCGGCTAGGCTGACCAGACAGCAAGTGTGAAAAATCGGGATGGGGTGGGGGGTAATAGGCGCCTATATAAGACAAAGCGCCAAATATCGGGACTGTCCCTATAAAATCGGGACATCTGGTCACCCTAGGGGACCCATCCCTTTGATCCCTTTCTGGCCTTCCTTGGCTCATCCCCCTTCCCTGGCTGGCTGTCGGGCCCCAGGCCACCTCCCCTTGCTGCTGGCCATGTTTCTTCAGGCCTATGCACACACAGACTTGGGCTGCCTGTTACCACCCCTCCCCCACCGTGCACACTCCTGGGGGAGGTGCTGATTTTGGTCTGAGCCACTTATTGCAGCTTGGCTTAAACTTCACTAAACCAGATTAAACCCACTGTAAAGAGGAGCAGCTGCCTGCCTGCCTGCCACTCCGGTTTCACAACATCCCTTGAGGCTAACAGGGTACAGGCCTGCATAGAGTCCTGAAAGTGCGGGCAAGGACTGTCCCTGTGCCTCTTTCATGGCTGCCAGTGACACCAGAGACTCTCCTCTAGCTGTTAGCACTATAGGGGCTATGACACATGAGCAAACAGATCTGATTCTGTCCAGCAGAGGGCTGCCTCTCACACACCATGCCACTCCAACAGACCCATTCCCAGATTCCTGGGGCCTCCTGTGATAGCTTTATCTCCGCCTTTGTCTGGCTGGAGCTGGTGGAATCAATAACCAGAGTGTTTCAGTTAGCACAAGAAATCCACACACCATCCACATACCCTGCCCCCAGCCTCCCTCTCCCATCCATCCCCCAGTCCTCCACCCCATCCATACACACCCCATCCATCCCCCACCCTCTGCCCCCAGCCCCCATCCATCCCCCAGCCCCAGACCCCCATCCATACACACCCCATCCATCGCCCAGCCACCCCCCCACACCCCATCCATCCCCTGCCCCCAGCCTCTCTCCCATCCATCCCCCACCCAAACACACCCCCATCGACACATTCTATCCATCCCCCCATCCCCATCCATCCCCCAGCCACCCCCCGCCGCGGGGCCGATCCCAAGGGCTCCCCGTGGCAGCACTTGACGATGGGGGCTGAGCTCCGAGGCGTCCCATTCACTGGCGAAGGAGCCCCGCCCCCGGCTGACGTCACGCGGAGGAGGGGAATCGAGGCAGGCTGGCGAGCGGGCTGCACACTCGAGGCGAGCGAAGAAAGGGCAGCGCCAGCGCCGCGAGCTGGGGACCCCCGAGCGCCCCGCAGCCTCGGGCTTGTCGGTTCTCGCGCTGGGCCGGGCTCCAGAGCCCCGAAGGTGAGTGGCGGGAGGGGAGAAGCCGCTTTTGTTCCTGTCCGGTGTTTACGGGGGGGCTGCCCGGCTCGGCTCGCTCGTGGCTCAGAGGGACGCGAACCCCAGCGCCCCCCCGTGCAGCCGGCACCCCGCTTTGCAGGGCAGCCCCCCCGAAACGGACCCACGTTCTTTGTGCGAACTAGCCTTGAGCTGGGGGCGAGCGCCCGCCCCCGGGAACTGGGGGGGTCCGCTGCTAGCGAAGCCCAGCCCGGCCTCTCCGGACCAGCTCGGCCAGGGACTGGGCCCCCAGCGCCCCCTCCTGCCGCCCCCCAACTCAGCCGAGCGCGTCTGCGCGGCGCGGGGGCGCCGAGGGGGCCCGTTGGGCGGGGGGCTTGGGGGTCCTGGGGGGGCCGCCGGGCGGGGGCGGTTGGGGGGCGCTGGGTTTGCTCTCTCCGGGCACCAGCTGCGCTGCAAAGTTTTCAGGCTGGGCGCTCGGGGCTGTGGGTTGGGCTGGGGCGGGTTGGACTCGTGTGGGGGCAGATCTGCGGCTGGTTACTAACCCCCCCCCCCCCCCCGAAAAGCCCCTTTGTCCTCAGTGCACCCCGGGCTCCTGCAACCCCTCCCCGGCCTCCCCTGGGGGAGCGGGACCCCTCAGCCCCGGGGCTCCCCGCGAATGGCCGGAGAAGTCCCCGGGGCGGGGGGTCCCCGACTCCGCGCTCCGGGACCCAGAAACTCGCTCCCTGCCCAGGTCGTGTCGGCAAAGCCGCGGCCCCGCAGCCCGCTGAGCTTGCAAAAGGTTCCGGCCGCTTCTCCTTTCTCTGCCTCCGAGCTCCGCTGGGAAAACAAAACCCAGCCCCGCGCCCCCGTGGGCGGGGGAGCGCAGGGTGCGCGCAAGGAGCGCGCAGCGCCATCTGCGAGCCTCTTTCTCTCCCCACTTGGGGGGGTTATTGCCCCCCGGGTCTCCGGGGTCCCCTCGCTGCTCCGGCCCCAGGGCGCCCCGTGGCGCTGGCTGCCGCCTGCCCCCATCTTCGGGGGGCCGGAGCCGAGCTTGGCCTCGCTGCTGGGCGCTGCCATGCTCCGGCCTTTGATGCAGGAGCTGGGAGTTGGGGGCTGGGGTAGGGGATCCGCCCCCCTGCAGCCCCCCCACTGCACCGCCCCCGGGCGGCTTCCCTAGAGCCTCCCGTGCCTGGCGGGCCGCGGAGCTGACAGCGCCCCCGCCTGGCTCGGTCCCTTTGGGGGGCCGGGGGCCGCCCCACCCCTCTTGGCAGGGCCGGTCCCCGAGAGCAGCGGGCAGTGCCCGCGCCGGCCGGCAGGGGGCGGAGCGCTCTGGGCTTTTGTTCCTTCGCAGCCCGAGGGGCGGGGGGCTGCCGGGGGCGGCTCCGTGCTGGGAGGGGGATGGGCGGCTGCTGGGGGCTGATCGGGGGGGCTCTCGGCCCCGCTGCACCCAGCGGAGTCCCCGCAGCTCACCCCCTGCCCTGTTGCCGGGCTGGATCTGGGGGTGCGTGGGGCGGGGGGGCTGGCTAGTGCTGGGCCTGCTGGCAGTGTGCTCACCCCTGCCCCTCCTGGGGAGGGGAGCCCAATGGGGAGAACCGGGGAGTCTCTCCCCCCTGGCTGGGGAATGGCCGAGCCCCCCGGTGTCTGCCTTGGCCCCCTTCCCACACTTGGCAGCTGGGCCCCCGGGCTGGGCTCGGCTGGCGTGTGCAGCTGCTCCGCTGGCCTGGCTGTGTGTGGCCAGGGATCTGGGGCCCCCCAGAGGTCCCCCTTGGCAGATGCCTTGCCATTGCTCCTTGCCATGCTCCGTGGGATAACGGCCACCCCGGCTTCGGGCCTGGCGTCTCCTGTGGGCCCCGGGTTCGGTCTCCTCTGCCCCTCGCTGAGGGAGCGTGCGGGGGGCTGGCTAGGCTGAGCCCTGTGCATGGGGTGATGCCCCTCCCCCCCACGTGGTGCCCATCATTTCCCCCTGCCCCGGGGAAGTTGGAAGGTGGGTGCCTGTGTGCCGGGGTCAGGCCTTTCCTCGAAGGAGAGCATGTCGCTCTCCTGCTGCGGGTGGCTCCTGACATGTGGGTCCGGCAGCCTGTGGAGCAGGGGCAGGAGCTCTGGTCTCTGCCCAGCCCAGGCGCCCGCGGAGGGCAGGATCCATCCCCTCCGCAGGAACTGACCAGGACTCTGGCTTGGTCTCCCGAGCTGCCCATCCCCTGTCCCCCTGGGCTGCCCTGGGCCCCGACCCCTCCAGCCCCCCAAGCAGCTGCCAGGCAGTGGCGGTTGCTGTGACATGGGTGTTTGACATGCTGGTCTAAGACCCACCAACTCTGAGGGGCTGTGAGCAGGGGCCGGTCCCCGCAGGCTGGACTGGGCCAGAGGGGTTCCAGAAGCTCCCTCGGCTCCGTTGGGGGTGGTGAGCTCTGGTGGGGGCAGGGGCTGCCCCCTTGGCTCGTTCCCAGCTGGATCTGGCTTCCTGGCCAGGCTGGCCATGATTCCCACAGCCCACTGCCTCGCTTCCTGGCCGGAAATCCACTTCTCCCCTGCCGCGTCCTTCCCCGCAGGAGCCGGGTGGGAGAGGCAGCTTCCTGCTTCCCTTCATGGAAAACAGCTCTGCTCCTGCCACCGTCCTGCTGGTAACCTGTGAGCGCTTTCCGCATCCGTGGGCCCCACAGCCTGGCCGTCGTCCCGTCCCCTCCCCCACACACACGCTCCTGCCGCTACCCGGCCGGATGCCACGGGCACCTTCTGCCCTCTGAGGCTGGGTCCCACCCACGGTCTCTGTCAGTCCCTCCCCAGGACACAGAATCATAGAATATCAGGGTTGGAAGGGACCTCAGGAGGTCATCTAGTCCAACCCCGTGCTCAAAGCAGGACCATCACCAACTAAATCATCCCAGCCAGGGCTTTATCAAGCCGGGCCTTAAAAACCTCTAAGGAAGGAGATTCCACCACCTCCCTAGGGAACCCATTCCATGCTGGGGGCCTGTCCGGGGGGCTCTGGGCAGCGGTGCCCCCCTCTCCCCGTGTGGCATGTTTCTGCCCACTCTGCTCCAGGCTGGCAGCGGGAAGCCTGGGGTCCGGGGTGGCAAAGGCCCAGCACAAGGCAGGAGAGAGCCCAGCCTGCTGGCAACGCCAGCCTGTTCGCTGGGCTGCTCCGTCTTCAAACATCCCGAACGCAGAAGGGGGGACCCGACACCAGGCTAGTTCAGACTCTCCCCTGGCAATTGCTCCCCCTTGTACCTTGCAGCCAAGGGTCCCAAAGCCCCTCGCTGGTGTGGAGGTAACTCACCAGCCGCCACCTGGGCTGGTGTCATTCTACCCATGTTAGAGGGGGAAACTGAGGCACAAAGAGATGGGACTTGCCCGAAGTCAGAGAGGGAGTCTGTCAGAGCTGGGACCTGCCCTGTTGAGATTGGCTCAGGGGGGCTAAAGCGGGTTCAGGGGGCCCCTTTGGGGCTCTGTTTGACTGGGGAAAGCCCCTCACCGGTCCCTGGGTGGAGTTTCCTCCTGCACAGGATGTGAAGGCGGCAAGGTGGAGTGATCCCAGGGGAGTGTGTGCGTGGGGGAGGGGGGGCGCAGCTGTGCGTCAGCTGGGAAGAGGAAGGAGCAGCATTGCTGGCAGCCCCCGCGCCCCGCCCCCGCTGACTCAGCACCAGCCCCATTGATGGCAGGAAGTAGTTACGGAAGGAGGTGACCACAAAAAGGGGAATCCGTGACCCAGGGGTAGCACCGGCTCCGCTCGGCGGGGGGGGAGCAGCTCCCTGCAGGAGGCGTTGGTGCACACGCCTGCCCCCTGCTGCCTGGGTCAGCAGTGCACTTCCGGCTCCTGCGGGGGGCTCTTGGCTACGTGGGGAGCAGGGGCGAGGGGCGCTGGCTGTGGATCTGGCCAGTTGATACCGTTCAGCGGGAGGGGAGGGGAGCCAAGCGCTCCTGTGCGCAACCCCGAGGGGCGGGGAGAGGCCCAGCCTTGGGGGGCACTGGGGTATCGCTGTGTCTCTGCTTCTAGCCACTGGTCTTGCCAGCTCGTGGGGCAGAAACGCTGCTCTGGCCTGGCCCTGGGCTGTGGGGCAGGGCTGGACAGAGGTGTCCTGCTCGCCTCAGGAGGCTAGAGGTGGTCTTAGGAGTCAGGACTCTTGGGTTCTGCCCCCGCCTCCCTCTCTGACACTGGGCAAATCCCCCCCCCCCCCCCAGCCTGGCCCTTGGCTCATGCCCTGGGTGGCTGGGTCAGACGCTTTTCCCCTTCCATGGGGCTGGGGCTGGGGCAGGAGGCTTGGCAGGGAACGCTCTGCAGGGGATTGGGGGGGAATCTGTCTGTGTCTGGCTCAGCCCCCCCGCCCCGCCCCCCCGAGCGCTCAGAGCAGAAGCATCTCAATGGCTCCCTTGTCCCCGTTTCCTGCCTGCCCACGTGCTTTGGCTCCTCTGCCCTTGGCCCCCTGTAACCGGCCTGTCTCTCCCCGCCAGGCCGCCCAGAGCAGTGAAGGCACGAAAGGAGCTGGGCGCAGGGAGGCCAGACCCCAGCGCGCCACGGGGCAGCATGGACGCCAGCCTCCCAGGCCTCGCCCTGCTCACCACCGTCTTCCTGAGTGTGGGCACCGCCGACGCTGCCTGGTGGAACCTGGTGCCCAGGAAAACCATCCCCTACAACGGTGAGTGCAGCGATGGCCGGGCTGGGGGATGTGTCGTGGCTCTGTTGGGTAGCGCCCAGCCCTGGGCTGGCACAGAACTGTTGTGGTGCCCTGGGCTGGGCTTTTTGGCGTTACACTGGCTGATGGTGGGGGAGGGGGGCTGGGAATGTCCCATCAGACAGACCCCCAGGGCCTGGCCCCAGGAGCATCTGTTCCACGGTGCTGAGCTGGATCCCAGCGATTCAAGGCAGAGGGACCTGGAGGGACAATGTATTTTAACAGAGAAGTCAAGGGTCTGGCTCCCCACTGCTGAGATTGGGGAGAGGTGTGTGTGTGGGGGGGGTGTCTGTGCCTGTCACTGTCAGGCTCGCGTTCCCTGCTCTGCAGCCACAACCACCTCTCGCTGTTTAAAGGGGAATGCAGAGATGCACCTGATCCCAGGACTCTGGGAGCTGAGGTTTTAAGGAAACCCCCAAATCCCATGTGCCTCACTGCAGAGCTGCTGCCTCTCCCGGCTTCCTGCTAAGGGAACCCCCTTTTCCTGGGGAGCGGTTCCCCCCTTGCCTGGCTCGCTGTGCAGTGAGGGCGAGGGGCCAGCAGGGTCCCTCTGCTGGGGGGTGGCTGTGGAGGATCCCTGCCTTCGCGGGAGTGCGGGGGAGCTCCCCGTCCAGCCTGCACCCGCCCCAGCAGGGGAAGGCAGGCCCAGCGGTTAGGGTGCTGGCTGGGACTTGGCAGACCTGGGTACAGTCCCCTGGGCAGCCATGGCCTCCCTGTGTCCTGGGGGAATCCCTGGAGCCTGTTCCCCGGGACAGGAGCACGTCCCAGGCACCCCCCCTGCCCTGTCTGACTCAAGGGGCTGGAGCTGGGAGAGGCAAAGGGCTGCTGCAGCGAAGCCGGTGGGTGCCCAGCCCTGGAGCTCCTGGCTGGCGAGGGAGTCGCCGGGGGGACACACTACAGTCGCTCTGAGCCCTGTGTGGGAGCAAAGCCAGTGTGGGGAGCTCAGGCCCGGTACCGTGTGTGGGGCACAGGGCAGCACTCATGGCCCTGGCAGCCTGGCCCCTCCCTCGGGGGCAGCCCGTCCCTTTGGATAAATCTCGCTGGCACAGCCGGGCCATGGTGAGACGTGGTGGCCGGGCGCCGCTGGTGGGCATCTCCCGCTGGCATGGGATTGGGAGCCCCCCCCCCCAGGCCCCACACCAGCAGGCATGCGGCATCCCACCCTGCCCTCCCGCTGGGTGCCTGGCTCTAGCTGTGATGCGCCAGACGTGGCATCTGCAGGCCGGGAGCTCTGTGGGGTAAGGCGGGGGCCTCCCTCCCTGGCCTGGCCATGGCTCACAGGCCAAATCAGATGCTCGCCTCCTGGCTCCGTGGTACCTACTCTGGGGTCCCCAGACCCTCCCTGCCCCCCTCCCACTGGTGAAGTGCTGCTCTCAGCGCCGTGCTGGCGGGAAGGGGGCTCCGTCCTGCCCTGCCCGGGGGCCTGGCTGGCCCCGAGGGGCTGCCTCTCCGGAGGTGACATCAGGTGTTTGCGCCAGCCCCGGGCAATGATCTCATCCTGTTTGCTGCTCGCTGCCCTCCCCAGGGCTCCCTTCCCCTCCCCCCCCGCATCCTGCGTCCTGCTGCTCCCCCAGCGCGGGGGCTGGGTAGTGCCCGGGGGCAGCCTCCGTCCCTTGTGCCCACAGCCTCTCGTTCGGCTCCTGCCATGCGGGGTGGGCGCCTGGCCCTTGTGCCCATGCGGGGGCTGCTCTGAGTGAGTCTCTGCGCCCTGGGCGCTCCCCCCTCGGTCCTACGTTCCCCGTCTTGGCTCTGGCTCTGGGGGTCTGACGGCCCCATTGGCGCATGGGCGGGGATGTGTCCTGTGGCGGTGCTCCTCAGTCCCGACCCACAGCCCCCCCTTCTGCCAGGCTCTCTGTGCCCAGGGCAGGTTTTCCTCCTGGGCCCCCTTCAGCACTCGGGCTCTGCAGCTCCCTCCCCCCCCCTCCCCCCGCGCTGGGCACCCCAGTCTCTGCAGGAGCTGAGACGTACTCGCCAGCCTGGGGTTGCGCTGGGACTGGCTGCCTGGGGGTGGGCACTGCCCATTGGGTCCTCGTCTCACGAGAGCTGCTGGTGCCTGCTCTACCCTCTGCGAGGGGCTGGGCTCATCATCTCAGGTGCTGCTGCCTGGGGCCTGCTCCCCATATGGTGGGGGCTCCCCTCCCCCACCCTGCTGAACCCCAGGCTGGGGAGTGGGGGCGGGGGCTGATTGAAGCCAGGTGCCGGCTTTGATCGGCCGCGGCACTGGGGCGGGCTCCGCTCCCTGGCTCTAATGGGCCCCAGCTGGCGGAGCGGCCGCGCCAGCTCCCTCAGTGCCGAGGCCCCACGTTCTCAGGCTGACCTGGAAGCTCTGCTCTCCGGGGTGCTGGGCTGTGCTGGAGGGTGTCCCCCAACCCCCCCTGCTCCTGCCCTGTGCCGAAGGAGTCCCTGGGTGCTCGTGTGGGGGAGGGGGTGCGACAGTCTCTGGGGAGCCTCGTTCCCTGAATCCAGTCCCGCTTTGCCTGTGTCACCTCAAGGTGCCCATGCTGCCCGCCTGCGACCTGTGGGCTCCCCCCTCCCCGACTCTAGGTGCTGGGGATGCCAAGTCTGGCAGGGTCTGTGCCGCAGGGCGTGGGGGCAGAAGTGAGCTGGCCATGGGGGCTCCGGCTCTGGCGTGGCACCTGCTGTGCCCGCGCCGTGTCTTGCCTTGATGTCAGCGCTTGGCTGCCCTCGCCCCGGGTCCAGGGAGATGCCCCTGGGCAGCCTGGTTGGACCCCTCCATGCCAGCTGGCGTGTGTGTGTGTGTTTGGGGGTATTGTATGTGGCAGTGTCTGGGAATCTCCCTGTGCCCCAGGTGCCGTCATGCCAGGCGCTGTACAGACCCTGACGGCAGAGCCGGTCCCGGCCCTGGGGTGATGGGTGGGGGATTGGGACACAGGAGGCTTCCTGGAAGTGGGGGGGTCCCCATTTCCCCAAGGCTGTAGGCCAGCCTGAAGTGGTCTGTACCCTGGGCCCTGCACGGCTGGCTTGTGAGCCCTCTGCGCCAGCCTGAGCTGCACTGGGTTTGTGTGGGGGGCTCACGTTGCGGCTGGTAATGCGACCGGGCTGGTGCTGGGTTTCCTGCCATCAGCTTGGGCCAGCTCCACTTACGGGCCTGACTTCCCTCTCCAGCCTCCCTCCACCGGGAAGGCAGAGTGTGCAGCCCCCGGGCTGGCTAGGGAGTTCGGTGCCCTGCACGCTGTGTCCGGCCTGGAGCAGAGCGAATGGGGAGCTGTGTGGGCGACAGCTGCCCCCCCCCCCCCGGCAGTGCCTGGCAGATCTCCTCCCCCCAGCCCAGAGTGGCTTGAGTACCTCTGTATGCTCCCCACCCCCGCGCTCCGCTCTCCCGTCAATGTGCCCTTTCTCTGAACAAAGCTGGCCCTGGAGGCCGGGCTGGACAGGGGCTCGGCAAAGGGCCCCTCTGCCAGGGCGCCAGGCTCAGCACTCTCCGGTTCCACCCGGTGCATCCCCGACAATGGCTCCCTTGTCCAGCCAGCGCGAGGAACGAGCGGCTCCCTGGAGGGCAAGGGGGGCTTCCGGGAAGGGGCTGGCGCCCGGGGTGGGGCTGGCTGGAGCAGATGGTCCCACGTGAGCTCCCCCGGCCCAGCGTGCTCAGCAGGTCTCTGCGCCCAGTGAGCCCTGGGGCACGTTAGAGCTGAATTTGTCTCCAGGCTCAGGGTGTCTGCGGACGAGATCACGAGCTCAGGGCTGTTCCCAGCTAGGATAGGGGGCTGCGGGTCGGGAGTGAGGAGCATGCCAGATCTGCAGGGGAGTCCAGGGCTGGGGATCCGGAGGGAGGGGCTGCCAGCCACAGCAGTGCAAGGAGATGTTGTGTGGCCAGCCCCGTCTCTGCTGGGGGCTGTTGGCGATCTGTGGGCGGGGAGGGGAGGGCAGCTGGGGCAGTTCTGCTCCTGCTGGCGCAGAATGAGTTGTCTCCAAGACGCCCTTCTCTAGTCCTGGGTCCAGCCCAGACTCAGCCTCGTCCCCTGCTAGCCATGGCCCCCGGGATCCCTCAGCACCTGCCCCCCAGCGGGTGGGATCCCCCCTTGCCCTACAGATGGTTGGCCTAGTGCCCGGGCTGCCAGCTGAGCAGCCAGCAGGACGCGGGTGGCTCCTGGATCCCGCCTGTCCCCAGGGCAGCCTGGGAGTGAGGGACTCGCCCGCCGTTGCTGGGGCAGGGTGTGGGGCGGGCGAATCCCTCTTGGCTGGCTGGCACAGAGGAGCAGGCGGCCTGGGACACGGTGGTGGTGCCAGGCCCCAGTCTGGCCCTGTGCCCCCAGGAGCCGCAGGCCCCCGAGTCCCCTGACACTGTCCCATCCCCTCCCCACAGAGCTGAAGGACGTGGCGAAGCGGTTCTCCAAGGCGGGCGTGTCGCACTACATGACGCTGACGCTGGGCGAGGCCGAGAGGGTGCTGTACGTGGGTGCCCGGGAGGCCATCTTCGCCCTTGCCACCGGCACCATGGAGCTGAAGGCAGCGGTAAGAGGGGGCGGCTCTGCTGTGGGGTCCCAGCAGGGGGTGGTGCCACCACAGAGCCTGGGAGGAGGCCCCCAAAGCCTGGCTGGCACGGTCCACGGTGCCCCCATCTAGGGGGACGGAGCTACGAGGGGTCTGGCTGGCCTGGGGGTGCTGGTTAAACAGCCCCTTGGGGAGCAGCGCCCCCTGCTGGGCACCCCCGAACATGGGCGTGTTCTCCTGGGAGCCGGTCTGGGCGCTGGTTGCTGGGCGCCTCCTCTGCCAGGTGAGGGATGTGGTGAGCATGGAGGGCTGAGCGCTGTCCGGCTGCAGGAGATGGGGGGTGGGTGGGGCAGGACTGGGGTGGGCTGGCTCAGCCCCTGACCCCGCTTCCCTCTGGCTTGGCAGATCTCCTGGGAGGCTCCGACAGAGAAGAAAGTGGAATGTATCCAGAAGGGCAAGAACAACCAGGTATGCCAGCTGGGCACACGGGCCCCGGCTCCCCTGCCCGCTCCCAGCCTCTCCCCATGCGCAGGAGCAGGGCCCCTGGTCTGAGCCCGCGGGTCTGTACGGCAGCCCCCTGCTGTGTGTGGAGGGGCAGGTACCGGGGTGGCACAGCGATGGCACGTGCCATGTTTCTCCCCGGGCTGGGGAGCTGCGGGGGGGTCCCACATCCCCGGGCAAGTTCCACTTGGCTCCATGGCCA